TTTCAGATCCACCAAATGGCATCTGCTTAGCACTTATTTTATGAGCCTGGGTAGAATATTTTAAAAATGCCATTTTTGAAAAAGATTTCAATTCCATATAACAATTTTAGCCTGTGTTACAACTACGTGTCATAGTGTGCAACCTGAGATATGGATAAAAGAGTTAAATAAGCTCACTGAAAATAACATTTGGTTGTTTGGAAAGCAGAGACAGAATTTGGCTTTAACTTCTGTTCTGAGTATCCCTCATTGAGGTAAGTGATAGAAAGTTTCAGCTGTCTTCATTGCATGGAAAAGAAGGTTTGAGTACACTCGAGTACTCGAGTATGCTATTAGGAAGGTGTAGTGTTTCAGCTTATCATTTTAACTGTGCAGTTTGTGGTATCGAAGAATCATTCTGCAAAGAGATCAGGTTTGGAGATCCTGTGGTGGTGCTGTGGTGATGTAAATTCTCCTGTCTTTAATACTCTTTAAGAATGCTGTCAAATGGTTTCCTACTCACTGGAGACCAGAATGCTTTTGCAGTTAATAAAAAAATAAAATAAATATTTCCCAGCCTCGTCTAAAATGTTTGGAAGAACTGAGAGCTCAATCTCCTAATTTAATACACAGTATATATCTTTAAGAATCATTTCTTCAGATTAATAAGGGCATTCCAGACTTCTGTTTGTTTTGTTTTCTTTGGACAAGGAGGTCTATTGGTATCGCATTGAGGGAAAAGTTATTGAATGTAATCTGTTCTGGAAATAATCCTTTAATTAAAAGAATGAACTTCAGATGTTCCTGATGCTGAGATAAGCCAAGTTTTTGGGCAAATGTGAGAAGACTGTGAAGTCCTAGAAGCATAGAAATTAACTGGACTTTTTAGCTTTGGTTTCATGGAATGTGTGTTCATCCCAGGACTCAATCTAAAGGTAAAAAGCAAATGGAGCTGAGAATGGCTCACGTGCCTCTAGTGTACTTGTCACGTAGAAGGCAGGCAGAGATTGTGCATCTCTGTTTTTTGCCTCTGCTGGAGAAGTTTTGCCTCCACTGGAGCTACTCTTGCAATTCTTTTCCTATTGTAAATGATGTGATGCATTTTCTCTCCTGCGCTCACCTCTCCTTTAGGTGTTGTGCATGTCCTCATCTGCCTCCAGATGATTTAAACCTCAGTCTTATCCTTCCAGTCAACTTGATTTTTTAAAAAAAAGGGAAGGGAAAAAAAAAAGTGGAAAGGTTGTGGTCCAAAGGTTTCTGTAAGAGGCAGAGGGTGGCTGCTTTGATCTAACTGGCTGCTATCCCAGGCTGTGTCTCCAAGTCACATTTGTTTTGTTTCTGATCCCGTAAGGCATCAACACTCTTGGGATGCCTGAAGACCTGAGAAGAACAGATGGGGTTGTATTTGCTTTGTTTGTTTGTTTTTTAAGCTAATATTTCTGTTCCCTCTTATCTCATTTAGGGGGCATGATTGAAAAGCTACTGAATTGCTCTTTCCAATATCCCATTGAGAAAAATGCGTGCTTATTGTAAAATCTGTGCCGTATCATGTTGATCATTTCTAGAAACATATTTACTGCATTTTTTTCCACAGAATTTTGAACTGAGATTCAGGCTTGGTGTATTGATCTGTTTCCAAATTCACTATCATTGTCTATTTTTCAGGAAAGCTTATTCTGTTATTGTTAGCATACTGTCTTCTGTAAGGATTCACAATTCTTTTGGATTTTTTGTGTCATATATCTTTTGTATCTTTTGGCTTGTTACTAACTGGAGCAAAGGCAGGAGGTCTCCAGTTACGCAGCAGGAAATAAGAACAGCAAGATGGGCACTAAGGGTGATTTGGCCCAGCTGTAGAGTCCCACAGCAGCCTGTGCTCCTCAGCTGCTCCCTTGCTGCCTCCAGCCCTTCTCCCAAGGGCTGCAGTGCATTGAGGATCAGGGAGGATGCATATGCACATTCCCAATGGGAATGATAAGGGCTGCACAAGCCCTGTCCCTCCGCAGAGATGGGAAGGACAGGAGGGTCCCCGGTACCACCTCGTGTTTGGCACATGGACAGCTCCTGGTTCCTGCAGCGCTCCCTTATGAGGGTAGCGAGTTAAATGAGGGAGGAAAATTCCCATTCCTGACACCTCCAGCTGTAGCCTTATTGTAACCTACAACCGCATGACCAAAAGATGTGCTCATACTGCTCTGCCTAGTGGTTTGATGATAGATTTTTTGGTAGTATTACTGTGGAAGATGATCTTATCTAGTGATAGGAAAGATTATCAAAGTAATATATGGTAAATGAGATATTTTTGTTTGCTTTCAGTATTTTTAATGATATCTTTATGAATTGTTACTACTTTTTTGTTGTTGTTTTAATTAGCTACAGTGATACTTTCTTGTCATCGGAAGTCTTTTGGTAAGCAATGGCTAAGGCACGTGGTGCCTTCTTCTGCAGCGAGTTTGCAAAGCTGCTCTAACAGGGAGTTGCCCTTTCACTGTGTAGCCCTTTCTCCTGGGAACCTGTTTCTTTCAAAGCTCTATCTGAACACATAAGGTAACAGCAAGTTGCTGAAGTAGTTTGTTTTTTGGAAATGGATAGTTTCATGTAACACACCCCTTAATAAACAATTCCAGGTTTTCCCCCTGTGGAACAAGTTGCTGCAGGGACTACGCTGCAGCTGTAGTTTTTTTATTTGAAAGAATGAAATCCATTTGTAAGGACCACGTGTCAGACAACATCCCACAAACCTGTAGGCATTTCTGTGACAACCTGTACTAAAAGGTAACCCCTCGAAAGCATGGTGAACAGTGCCATGGATAAAGAGCAAATATGAAGAACTTGGCACTGGAAAGGAGGTTTCTCCTGAAATGGGAGAAGACATTTAAGTAGCACTGATGAAATTTTGCAAGTGTCGAAGTAACATAATCCCTTTGTCCTATAGATGAATGGAAGAGTGGCATACATTTATTCATGTTCTTTTTTTGATATCTCTGATACTTGAAAAGGCTGTGAGATAACCAATTGTTAATCTTATCTTAAAGTACCTTTTAATTCTGGCTATGCCACAAACTTAGTATATCTAGTATATCATTCATCCTTTTTATCTTTAGCTGTTGTCTAACCCTTTTTAGCACAGATTACACTTCATTCGCATAAATGGCAAAGATATTTTAAGGCTCGAATAAAGTGAGACACTTTCTGGTGTTGGGTACTGTGAGTAAATTTTTTTTTGAAAAAATGTCTTTCAGAGTTTCGTCTTTGCTTTGGAGAGTTTGTACTCATTTGGATTTACAATATACATGAGAGTTTTGAATTTTTTCTCAGGGATCTTAAGCAGGTCGTTTTAGTTTCTCCATAATCTGTGAAGAAATTTCGTCTGGTCTAGCTCTTCCTCAGTTGTGAGTTCTGCTGCCAGCTCGCTTACGGGGAAGGGCACCCCTGGGGCTACCGACATGCAGCAAATCCTTCCGAAAGAACCTGTGAGCATCGGTAATGCATTTCCTGGTTATCTTTAAAGAGCATCAAATATAGGAAGATTTTGACCTGACATTGGAGAGCTCTGTTGGGTTTGTCTGGTTGTTTAATACCAAGGAATATTTTATTCTTAATTTTGATGAGGATTGCTATATGATTGAGTAAGAATTTAAGTGCAGTCTTTGCAATTTCTCTGGTATGTATCTTTGGAAAATAGGAACCGGACTCCACACAGGCATGGAGAAGTGTAAAGTGGAATAATATGTAATGTCACAGGAAAATATGTTACTATAGCCTACCCTGTAAAGCAGCTAAACTGCGTTTTGCAAGATGGAGGTGTGTCTTTATTTGAACAGGGGTGTTGGGAACAAGAAGGAAGATAAAGCACTGTAAAGCAGCCTATTATTTTGGAAAAATCAACAATATCTTCCAATCATCACTGCGCATATAGCGTCAGGTTAGAAATGTTAGACATTTTCATGTTGAGCTTGTGTAAAGCTGGCTTCCAGTTAGAAGGTGACTGAATTTGAGCTCCATAAAACGTTCCATAGCAGAGGGGCTTTTCACGTCTTATCAAATGGTGCCATAGGCTTGGGCATTGGGCATTGGGTGTCTGTCGAGCCTGATCAGTGGAGACAGTTAAAGCGTGTTGTACCTCTGCAGAACATCCAACAACTGCCACCTTCTCAGCACTGCAGCTTTCATTGCAGCAAGGGAATTCTAGGGTACTCACGTTCGTTTTATAGGTCAGGGTTTCAGGAAATCCGTTTTGTATTCCCTGGGTGTCTGCACGTAGAGGGTGAGTGATCGTAATATTTTTTTCAAAAAAAAGATTGATGCAGAAGTTTTGTTATGGCACACTGTGATTCATTTTTCTGGGATTTCATAAGTTTTTTGGGGTTTTTTTGTTTGTTTGGTTGGTTGGTTGAGTTTTTGTCTTCCCTTTATCCTGTCATTTATAATAAATACGTTTTCATTTATAGATTGTATTTGTCATGCCATATCAATACATCTTCAAGTCTGATGCTTTTTATAAATTGTTATTTTTTATTCTTACTATATGAGCATGATGGAACACCTTAGAACACAACAGTGTTCTAAAGCTGCAGCGAACTGTAGTTTTACCGACAAATATTTTGGTAATTAACAGAAGCTTTCTGTAGGTGGCTGAGATATTCCTCCAAATTTCTTACCTTTGTTCCTGCTACCAAAATCAGTGTAGATTTTAAAAGTGTTATATATATATTAGGTGTATCTTTATCAACAAATAAATCAGATTTAGGAAAAGAACACTTCATAAGTGATCAGAAGTGGAGCTTTTTTGACACAGCACAGAAGTGATTTGCAAGAGGCAGAAACACCTCTTCTCCTGCTTTACTGAAAGGAAGACTTAATAGTGTATTGACCTAAAAGAAAAATTAATATAGCTGAACTGGGACCAACTTTTCAAAAATTCCCTCTCATTTCAGTTGATCACATGTAATGCATGTTACATCAACTCATCAGCCTGTTTTTCCTTTAGAGAAGCAAAAACCATTTGTAATTTCTTTTAGGCTACATGACATTCCTCGTTGTCAGAAGACTGACTCTTTGTTCTGCTATGACATCCCAGTATTTAGCATGCTAGTGAGAGACAGGCCTCTCTGAATTCTTGTAGATCAAGTTGTGGAAAGTCAGGTAAGTGGCATTTTTCTTTATTATATTGCACAACATTTACCTTATTTTGTACTCGACTGGTATACATTTGGTACATTTTCAAAGCTATTTAGGAAAAAGGCGCAATATAATAATATTAAAAGCCACTTATCCAGTTTATTATTTGTGAATTTGGCTCCATTAGCTAGTATTCATTTTATGATGGGCATGAAATCCCCATGTATAATGCATACTGAGGCATGTAGCTGGTTAAGAATTAGGCCTTTCTAATAAGAATATGTTATACATGGTAGGACAAACACAAAGGGCAGACATTACTGAGTTTGTGAGCAAACAAGATTGAAATATATACATTATGTTTAAACAGAAAGGATACTTTTGTTAATGAATTTTATTTTATTCCGTACATGGTCTACAAATGGCTCTAGGAGGATCTTATGCTTGTTGGGAAAAGGAGTGTTTTTAGGATAGATAAATTTTGGTCAATGATGTGGTGAATATTTCTTAAAGCTTTTATAGGGCAAGAATGTGTATCTGGCTAAAACATCTCCTCGGTCTTAGCAATGCTAGAATAAAGTGCATGCTATATGTAATAAGTCAAGAATCAAGTTCTGCATATAAAACTGCTGCAGATTCATCAGGTTACAGATAAAGCCAAAGAAGCTGTAGTTCATGTCCCATTTCCAGAAACCTCAACTCATTTATTTCCAGTTAAAGTAGAAGCTAAGATGTCCTTTCAAACCTTCAATCTGTGGGAAGCTGTGCGTGTTTCCTCCTGGTTGCAGGGACAGTTTTGACAAGACAAGCAAAGGGTTTTAATATCGCTTTCAATGCCGTCCTTGCCTGTCATAATGAGAGAGATGCCTGTTTGGTGGCTGCCTTTTCCCATCCCAAGCCAGCTGCCTCCAGCTAGACCTTTCTTTGGGAAAATCAATCACAAGATTGCATATGTATCTCCTGGGAAATTCAATGTGTGTGAGCAATAAGCACAAACACCAGTGGAAATTCCCTGTTTCAAGTATTTCACTGGCTTTGAAAGATTTCCTGTTGACCCTGGTAATATTTGACGATCATAAATAAAGAACAGCATCCTAACAGCAAAGCATTTTTACCAATTATTGGATGTAAAAGCAGATTTCTTTTCTCGTATGTAAGGTTGATCCTCCAGATCGAATCTGTAAGTATATTGCCCTGACAATGTAGATAGATAATTTATGATCCAGCCAGGGGTGTAATTGTTCTGTGATTAGAGAGAGGCTTATAGCTTCCAGGGATGTAAAATACTTTTCATGAATATTAAGTAAACTTTAATGATAGAATAAAAGCACAAACTGGAGGATACTCGTTTATATCCTACGCAAACTGGCCAACAACCACATTAATGTTTGTGAGTAACGGATTTTGAATATTGCTAAAAAAGGCGAGGATTTCCTCCTTTTTTTTCCATATCCTTTTCAGCACTTTTTAAACAAATAGTTGAAAGAATGAAGGATACTTGCCTACTTGCAATTACTTTTCATTTTTCTTTAATGTCTCTTGTAAATTATAGTAATCAGGGCTGTTTGAGAAGCAGTGATAGATTGCAATTGAATGGTTTGAGGCTATTAATTGCAATGAGGTTAAAGTAGTTCAGATAGTTCGGATGTCAGGTGCTTGAAATATTAGTTATTTCAAGGACAAATTGGGTTATAAATTATGAGTAAATCTGTACCAAGGTAATTAAACCCACTTGTAAACTGTCAAACACGGGTGCTGTTTCAAGATGTAGCTCAGTCACTCAGGAACAGAGGAGCCATGAATGAAAGGAGGTCAGGAATTAAATTCAGAGGTTATGTGGGGTTGTGAGAAGGAACTGAGTTAGTTCTGGCGCTATGTGTTTCCTGCACTTTCTAGCCTCTTAATGATTTTTGTTTAGCTTTATGATCCACCAGCCTTCTAATCTGGTGCCAGAGGAGTTGCTCCAGTGAGGACACTTCTTCTGAAGACAGATTTACAAACTCACTTGACCACTTGGGGGAGATAAAAAACAGCAAACAGCCCTCACGAAGGTCACAAATACAGTTATAACTTCCTAAAATTTCCACTCTAGGAGTGTGCCATTGCTACAAATAGCTTTCTCATTAAAACAGTGGGTTTTTTTTCCCAGTAAGATGGATGAAATATGTATTTCACTACAAGGGTTTCTGAGAAGTGCTTCTTATCATCACCAGCCAAATATTGTTTATTGAAGTGGGTTTGGAATTGCCTAATTGTTTATTTTTGAGTTGCAGGGCATAAGAAATTGAAACCATGGAAACTAAAGAACAGTTCAGTACTAATAATTTGTTTTATAGCTATTGAATTTTGCCGAGTATTCGCACTCTCACATGTACCAAAGCACTCAGAATATTACAATCTCCTCACCCCCAGAAAAATAAAACCGAAATTGAAGGCCTAAACAGTGCATCTATCCAAAGCAGTAAAGAAATAAAAAGCAATAAAATATCTTTGCCATTTATTTTCTACTATGAATATTCTTCTCATTTCAAGCCTGCACCTTTCTTGCTCATGTGTTGTCTGTGGTGTGTGGGTATGTGCAGGAGGGTGTTAGCAGAATTACAAGCATTTTAAACCACTGTTTTTTACTTTTCAATTATTACATAAAACATATATTATAGTCATTATAAAGCTTGTTGCAGGTACTATTAAAAGCATGGTCATCCATGGCAAATGGTTCCTTGATGTATTGGTAACAGTACAGATGTAGCTGATACAAACCAGTGCTTTTATCATTGCCTCCTCAGTTGCTCTTGATTGCCCGAGGTTTGAGATAGAGTTTGGGACAGAGGGGTTCCATGCTGGTTCAGTTTTCCTGTTTGGATACTTCTATTTTTATTTCTTTCAGCTTGTGGGAGTCAAGCAGCAATTCTCTTTCCCCCTTCTGCCATGTAGTTGACATTGGGCCTCTGCTGCAAACGTTGCTCCCTTCCAGAGGCACCTTCCACAGCTTATTAGATGCACTGGTTATCTAATGCACCGGTTAGGTAGTCATTCTGGTTATCAAGATGGCACGTTGCTTTCTGAAGTGACTTTGTATCTTCCTACACTGGAGTGAGCCCTGATCTGCTGGAACTGATACAAAGAAGGGGTTTTTTTGCTTTGAGCCTTAGGTGCCTGCAAGTCGCCTTATGCGGCTCATGAGCCTTGAGGCCAGTAGAGGCCTTTCCCAGGCAGAGTCAATTCTAATAAGGAAGTTCAAGGACCGGGACAGGTCTTGGCGCTCCCCTGACTCCCTTCCACCTTTACAAGCATTGAGATTCTCCTGAATCAGTTGTGAATAACAAATGTTAGGTGGGGCTAGTAGCTCTTGTCGAACGCCTTTAATTATTTTTAAGGGCTGCACTAATATCAGCAACTACGCATACTAAAATCAAAGAGAATCATGGCTTGCATGCATTATCCTTCTAAAACAGTGTTGAACAAATGTCAAGCACTGTTGGGCCAGTTCCCTTCCTCCCGCCATGAGCACTGCTCTCCCTTGTTGCTGCCTCCCTGGTGCCAAGTGACTGTCATGCCCGCAGGAGATGGAGCAAGAGCACTTCGTTCTTCTGCCAGGGTGGGTCCTGCTGGGATTGCCATTGGTGCAACCCATCAGTGCACAAAACGTGCATCTGCCCTGTTAGAGCTGCAACATTTTCTTCCAGACTTTGGTTTCATAGATGTTTCACAGACCACTTCTCTGTCAGTGTTCAAAATGTGGTTTCCCCATCCAGGAAATGCAGGAATCGAACCCCTGCAGCATCACAGCGCTGTCTGTAGGCAATTAACTAAAATTTGTTTTTGAAAAACAGAAATAACACTCATACCAAAGAAAGTGATTTACAAGATGTAACATAAATCATTTTCCATCTCTTAAAGTTACCAAACAGACAAGTATCACACATTTCCCACAATGTGTGAATACTATTTTCAGAAATTTTGTGAACTGACTCATTTCGTAATATGGCTATGAAAGAATTAATAAAATACCATGCACAAATGGTCTGTAATAAGGTTAGCTTCCAATATTTCAGAAATCGTCATATAAGTACACTTCTCAGATGTTTTATATTTTAAAAAAATACTTTCTCCCCAAAACTCAAAAGGTGAAAGAGTAAAAGCTTAACATCTATGATACATATAATAAATAATTATTGTTATATGATTTAGCTTGTATTTCTTTGCTTTATACTTTCTTTTTTTTTTTTAGATATTTAGATCTTCTGTTCCAACTAAAGCATTTTCTACATTTTAGCCTTATTTTTAAATTTAAGCATTAAATACCATACTGGTAATTGTAATGGCAATGTGTACAAAAAGTGTAATCCAACCCTTTATCCTTCAGTGTAATCTGATCTGAGTTTCCAGCAAGCATTTAGCATCTGTGCCATACAGGAATTCAGCTACTTTATGCTCTGGAGGAGGGAAAACCTGTTCCGCAGAAATAGTGGTCACTGTTTTTCCCATTACATTTAACTTCCTGAGTCCCCTGCAGCCCTAGACGCGTGTAGAGGAGCAGAAGATGGATTCTTACGAGGGGAAGGAGGACAGGACAGAGCAGCCTCCGCGCGCGCTCGGTAGCGGTCATCCTCCCGCGCCGGCCTGCAGAACGGGCAGATCCAGCCATTTCCCCTCTCATTGCCAGAGGACCTGAGAGCAGTTTATGTCATTCTTCCTTGTTCAGTAACAGAAGCTTCTAATCCCAAATCTTGTAAACTGGGCCTCTGGTGGGGAAGCATCAATCACCATCCATACTTTTACAACATGCTGTTTATTTAGGTGGAGGAGCAGTGTCCCTTGAAGTTGCAGTGTTTTGCAGTGCTCAGCTCCGGAAAGGGCTTGAGGATCTCATTGCTTTCCTTTTTAATCCTGGTTGTGTTTTCCTTAAGAGTGTAGAAAAATTCCTCTTGATCCTTATGCTCAGTCATGAAGAGTGACATCTGGATGACATTTCAGGCGGAGAAGGATGTGTCACCTTACGTGGTGACCTTCTACTGTTGGAAGTGGGAATGGCAGCAGGTGGAAAAT